AGGAAATCTAGTTTAGTTGTAATTATTACAGTATTCTAGAATTGCCCAGGTATCGGTATTTCAGAGCAGCAATAGAATAGAATAGAATAGAATAGAATAGAATAGAATAGAATAGAATAGAATAGAATAGAATAGAATAGAATAGAATAGAATACGATACGTGTGATTGGACACACAAGGAATTTGTCTTTGATGCATATGCTCTCAGTACATAAGATTTAGATTTATAACCTGGAGCAAACGCCTCCTATTAGTCTGATCTCTTTCTAAAGCTCTGCCAGCTTTTATTGTAGATTCTGAAAGGTCCCTGTTCTGACCCAGCTCCCCAAACACGACAAACCCTCTGAAGTGAACTCAAAAGATTCCTTTATTAGGAGCGCCAGCAGCCCCGGCAAAAAGTTTCTCTCTCAACGCAGGCTAATAAGACCATCCGGCAGAGGAGATGAATAGTTGTCTCCCACACCTATTCATCTCTGCCCCCTGCCTTTTATCCCCAGAGCTAGGGTGGGGCCTCGTTAGCAGCAGTGGCTCTTCCATCCCAAGGATCAGCCCATAGATTTCCACTGCTCTCCTCTCCTCTGCCTTCTGCGCATCCACGCGTCAGGCACTGGGCCCAGCTGTTCCTCCTCTTCCTCATCAGCCACCTCCAGACTAGATCCTTTCCCTTCAGAGCTCTGTTCGGGATCACCATGTCTCTCTTTCCTGCCTTCATTCTTGTCCTGATCTAGAAATGAGTTCGACAGGCTCTTTTTTCCTGAGCGTTTCTGTTTTTCACTTGCTTGCTGGCCATTAACCCGAGTTCACCTCTTCCATTTTCAGGTAGAGGATTCACAGACAAAGTGGACCGGCTAAAACTGGCAGAAATAGTGAAGCAAGTCATTGAAGAGCAGACAACCGTTCACGAGTCGCAGTAGTTGGAGCTGCTTGTTCTTATCAAATCACACATATTCTCACCCGTTTTTTGTTTTTTTTTTAAAGACCATTTTGTGAATTATCTGTTCAAGCAGCCTTGCCCAACCGGGCGCCTTCCCAGATGTTCTGGTTTGGGATGATAAGGGGGGAAAGCACCCAGCTGGGCAAGGCTGCTGTAAACTGTAAAAAGTATTTTTATGTAAATTAATAAGTCATAATTATTTCATTAAATTTCCACGCAGCTTGAGAAATGCTGTATAGATGTAGATAATGAGAATCATTGGTACTGTAATATTTTTTTAAGAAACTCGGTTCCTCAAAATTATATATATATATATATATATATATATTATATATATATTACATGATTTTTATGTAACCCTTCATGATTTTAAATGGGGCAAATGATTGTGTTCTCCTGACAATCCAGATGAGGCAATATCTCTCCAGCTGCCTGTCACCAGTGGTGCACCAGCTCGGTTCTGGGGGTCTCCCTTGGCCTTCAGCTCAATAAATTACTTGAAGAAACCAGCCAGAGATGCATGGGCTACTCAGCTGCCTGGTGACTTAAGGCAGCCCTATAAAAAGTGGTGATTGATTTAAAAAAAATAACCTTGTGTTTCCAGGTCTTGAGGCCCATTTCCTTCAGCCAACAGTTACCTTTTCCTCTGTTTTGTACCGCGAAGCAAAGGAGGACAGAAATGGTAGCTTGTGGGATTTTACCAATTCAGCCAAGAGAGAAATGTGATCTCTCTGACAACAGATTTGCTTTTGAAGCCTGGGGACAGTCCCACAGAACTACTTTGGTACCGTTCCCTTTGTCCTGCGGCTGCTGAAATGCCGATCCCAAGTTATATGCGGGCTTCTCATTGGCCACCACAACTCTGCGGTTTGCTATCTCTGGGGTAATGGTGGTTTTTTTGTTCTGTTTTTTTATTTTTTTTTTATCCTTCCTGAGTCATATCATCCTTGTCCGGCTTCTGTTTCTACTTTCTGGGCTCAGCCTTCAAATGCTTTTCTTGTGGACTTTGTGTATGATGGCTGCTGGTTGCATTCCTGCAGTTTTTATCAAGAGCCATTTGATGGGAAGGCCTGCAAGCATCCGGCTTTAGTCTTGGTTTTAGTTTTTTAGTTTTTAACAGGAAGGTTTTGCCGCTAAGGAGGACTGTTAGGGCTAAAGTACATCTGGAAAGCTGGAATCTCTGTCTCTAGTGCCAGTTCAGTTGATAATCTCAGGACTTTACATCCGGTCTGGAAACGTACAAAGAGAATGCGTTGAGAAACGGGACGGGAAAATGTTCTTTGGAGATGCCCATAAGGATAAAAGATGCCATGCCAGAGAAGGAGCCTTTTAATCTGGGGAAACAAAGTCCTTGGCCAGGAGAAAAAACCCCTGCAGAAGTAGGAAAATGTTGTTTTCACGCTCTGCAGAAGGCCAACGTGAAGTTTAGCACCAGCTTGTCAATAATTTTCTGCTGCAATTAATTTCTTCAGTCACTCTGAAACAGAAGTGTCTGATCCTTCTGTACAGTGTTTTCCCAAGGGTGCCCATGAGGTGGCATTCAGTTCTTTTTTTTGCGACAAATAGCATTCATGGCTTGGGAAATATTTAATAAACCTTTTCTCTTTGAGGCTTCCCTTTCTCCATTTTCTCTAGCTTGCTAGAAGTTTTTAAGGGTTGGACTGTGGCTGATGGGAGTAGCTGACTACAGTCGTGGGGTCCTTTTTGTAGACGTACTGTATGTAAGACATACTTGTCCTTGCCTCAGTCTCCCCAGCTGAGGAAGGGTCGGAAATCCCAAGAATTCCCTGGTGGTCTCCATTTTCCATGGGAAGGGGCTGGATCCACAAACGGCTGCTCCCAGAAGACAGCCTCCCCCCCTTCCTCCCCCCCAACCAGGTTCATCTTTTGGAAGATGACAGGGAAGTCCAGACTGCCATCAGAAAATGAGACTGAAGAGGAAATACTATTTAGTTTTGTTGAATTTTTGTTCGACTATTCTGGGAAATTTTTTGAGATTATTTTTTACATTTTTTTCTTTGCCTGCCACCATTACTCATTTGAATGTGGCTCAGTGTCTGGGCTCTTTGGATCGATTCTTCTTTGCATCTGTTGTATGTGCTTCTAATTCTCCGTTGAAAGTAGGAGAATCTCCCTCCCTCCCAGCAACATTGGCAGCTCTGCGATTGGCTTCTGAGAAGTGCCTGTCTCAGTTCTTGCCGTCCCTGCCGAGTGGGCTAAAGAGGAACCTTTACGCAGGATAGGAATTTATCTGCCACGGTGGCTACTTGGTGGGATACGCCAGGAAGCGTAAGGATGGAAGTCCTGTCCCTCCCTGAACGATGCATCGGTTCTGACTTTCCACCCTTCTTGTGTTCGTTCTGCCTGAGGCTGCAAATGCATTAGCTTTCCCTGACTTGGATGCTTACAGATGGATTGGGACTACAGCTCTCATCATGGGGGGTTGGGTACTGTAGTCCAGCGTGTTTGGAGAGCCTCTGCTTTGGGAAAGCTGCTGTATGAATAGCTGTGGTCGTCAGAAACCACTTTTCCTTTGTAAGGGGGGGAAAAGGCTATCTTTTATAAAAACACGACGGTATGCCTTGATGGTCCTGGATTTTACTGGGCTCCCCTTGCAAAGCTTTTCGTATTCATCTCCATCTTAATTTCTTTCTTGTACCTGTGGAAGGAAAAATCAGCACTCTTGCTTATGATGGGCGAAACCCCTGGTGATGATTGTTGATCCTTAGAGACAGAATCCACGAGAAATTTTTTTTGAGAGCGGGAATGGCGTCGTGCATGTATGTTTTCGGCCACAGCATAGCTGATCTCGGCTGTTAGGTTCCATCATGCCTTCCTCATCCTCGTTTTGCTTTCCTCACTTTTAAGCATTTTGCTGTATCACGGTTTTGTTTTTCGAATCAGTATTATATGAATGTAAATATTATGCATTGGTGTACATAAAATAATTTTAGTAAAATTTATCAAAGTTTCTGTCTCCTTTTTTAAAGGTAACATCAGTTGACAGGTAACCCGGTTCTGTCTTTGCTGTCTTACACCATTGGTTCTTTCAGAGGGAAATTGCAAGCTGAAATCGATTTTGCATTGCTTAAGGCCATGGCCTGTCTGCATAACATTTCTGCCCTTGAGCTATGTTGGGTAGCTCCTTAATCTAAGTCAAAAAGACTGGTGGGCCTGATAGCTGTTTCTCCCTGGGCGAGCGCAGCTGATGCTCTTGCCTTGTGGGCGCCTGTCTTTCTGTGTAAATCCTGTACCAATTATGGAAGGCATAAAATAGATTACCTGTGCCACACAAATAACAATGAGCCGGCCCCTTTGATTATTTCATCTCACAAGGCCATGAAATAGCTGGAAGGGATTGACTAGATCAGAGGTCTTCAAATTTGGCAGCTTTAAGACTTGTGGACTTCAACTCCCAGAAGTCTTAAAGCTGCCAAGTTTGAAGACCTCTGGACTAGATCTTCAAAGACAGAACTGGAAATTAAAAAAATAGCAAGGATACCATCCAATTTTAAATAAAAAGAAAATCCAGGTATAGCTTGCTCCACAATTCAATCCTGAAATTTGCTGTTCAGTAACTCTGGGAAGCCTCTTGTGGGAGGGAGGTTAAATGGAACATTCACATTTAAAGAGGCTGGAGAAACAGTTGCCTTCTGGAATCTTCCACTGGAGAAGACCCGTAGGAGGGAAGCGGTGGTTGGATCGGTGGTGAGTTCATTCTTGGTGGCTGTGATCTTTACAAGATTCATCCAGAACAACTGAGAAGGGTCCGAAGCTCTTGAGATGTCTGCCCTTTCCCTAGTGCCCTCTCCATTTTAGCTCTCTCGTTAAGCAAAGATGGCCACCAAGCCAGACAGTTGAACATGCCTGAAGAATCTTGATGGCTCAAGCAAGTGATGGTGATAGCCATTGCTTTCTTGGACATCGATGAACTGAAGTAAGCTCTCACAAAATTAACTGACTCACACAAGCCAAACAAACCAACCCTTGTCTTTTTCCCCCATTGGACGTCCACATCAATCTCTCCTCCAAGCAAAGCATGTGTGAAACTCAACACAGTTGAATCATGACGAGTGTGGGTAGATACCTTGGGTGCTGGTTTTTCCTCCAGTTGGCAACCAGCATTGCATTGGTGGTCTTCACCCTTTCCACCATTCATTGCAGCTCATTGCGTCCTCCGGCATATTCCTCTTCTGAGGTGATAATCCCAAGACGGTTAGCAGCCCAAGGAGGGAAGACAAAGAAGGATGAAATATCTTACATCATCGAGGCAGCAGGAAGGGATTACATCATCCGGCTCAACCCCCCAAAGCATTTGCTAGCTAAAGACCTTCCAGTCTTCACATATAATTCAAAGGGGGAACGCGTTGAGAGCCGTCCCTACATGCCAGTTGAATGCTACCGTCAAGGTTACGTGGAAGGTATTGTTGATTCACTTGCAGTTCTTAGGACCTGTCTTGGTCTCACTGGTTTGTTGAAAATTGGTGCAAGAACGTATGGTATTGAGCCTCTGCAGAATTCCTCTGCCTTTGAACACCTTCTCTACCTCTCCGAAGAATCACTGCCTAGTTTTTCATCATACAGAGCAGGGGTGGGAAGAACAAAACACCAAGCAAAAGATCTGCGAATCAGGCAAACCAGGATGATGTACGATTATCTCCAGTACGAAGATTTCCCCAAATATATCGAACTGTATATTGTAATAGACAAAAAATTATTTGTCCAAGAAGGAAATAATGTCAGCAGAGTGCAAACTGTAGTGCTGGATGTGGTGAACATTGCGGATGCCACCTTTGAGAGTCTCAAGACAAGCATTGTCCTAGTTGGACTTGAGATCTGGACTGAAAACAACTTGATAGATATTTCTACAGACTTCACGGAAGTTCTTCAAAATTTCAATACGTGGAGAATCACCAACATGACCAACAGGACAGAGTATGACACAGCCTTCTTGTTCTTTAAACAGGATTTGAAAGGTGTCTTTGGACAGTCCTACCACTCTGCTATTTGCAAGTCAAATTTTTCAGCAGGACTCCAAGTCTACCTCCAGAACCAACTGACCCGCTTCGCAAGGGGATTTTCTCACGAGTTGGCCTCTCATATTGGGATGAACCATGACGACTCCTACTGTGTCTGTGGCAAACACACAAGCTGCCTTATGCACACGTACCACGCCTCTGTTAACCTGTTCAGTAACTGCAGCATTCTGAATTTCATAGAACTTTCTGAACAGGGCTCCTTGGGTTGCTTGCTAAATGTTCCTAGGATACCTTCCAAATTTATGCACTGTGGGGACGGGGTTTTGGATATCGACGAGCAATGCGATTGTGGGAAATCAAACACATGCATGGACGATCCTTGCTGCACTCCCAATTGCCATTTGAAGAAACATGCCCATTGTGGGGCAGGAAAGTGTTGCCGAAAATGTACGTTCGTTCCCAAAGGAGAAATCTGCCGGGCTAAAGCCAGCGAATGTGATCTCCCCGAATACTGTAATGGGAAATCTCCACATTGCCCCAAGGACTTGTATTTGCAGGATGGAACACCCTGCAGCAAATATTCTTCTTACTGTTACAAAAAGAGGTGCTGGAATCACGATTTCTTATGCCGCAGAATCTTTAAAGGAGAGTCCAGATCAGGTCACGAGAGATGCTACCTCGCTCTGAACATCCTCGGGACTCCCTATGGCAACTGCGGCTTTGACCATTCCAGGAAAGAATATTTGAAATGCCATCCCTTGCACAGCATGTGTGGAAAAGTTCAGTGTATAGATGTGAATTCTGCGCCTGAGCTGAAAGACATGGTGATTCATATGAAGGAAGTGCAAGGGACGACGTGCTGGAGCACTTCACATCCCGCCGAAATCCATCACCATGACATTGGGATTGTCCCCAACGGCATTGTGTGTGACCCGTACAAAGTGTGCATCAATCGCAAATGCGTCTCCAAAGCCGTACTTAATTCAAGCTGCGACCCGCGGAAAACCTGCCGAGGCAGAGGTGTCTGCAACAACCTTCACAAATGCCACTGCAATAGCGGATGGGCCCCTCCGAACTGCAAGTTTTGGGGTGCAGGAGGGAGCGTTGACGGAGGGTTTCCTACGATTGCCTGGGGCGACTCCTTAGCAAAATACATCCTGGGAACCATCATTCCTTTTTGCATGTTGATTGTTGCTGCTGTTCTTTTGATCTTTCCGAAAGTGTGGGAACTCATGGGATCATTTATGAGGTGGTGGAAAACTTCCATGGAGAAAGCACTGAACCTCCCCCCCAAATCAGACACCCAGGTAAGGGTGCCAGTTGAGACTCCCTAGAAGGCCCACAGAAATTCACTCCAAAAAGTAGCTTCTCTTGCAACAAGCTCATCTAATGATCATAAAGTTAGCAGCCTGTTCAGATTGTTCAGATTAAACTTTCCAACGTGGAAAAGAGCATTGAGAGCAAAACCCAAATGGCTGCGCTAAAATAGGTTGGGTCACTGCAACATCAAATCCAATACTTTCCTCTATTGAAAAAGGGAAAGGAAAAGGCGGGGGGGGGGAAGGTGAGGGCAGGTAATAAAATCACTTGCAAATCAAACTTGTGAATGTGCCTGCTAAACAATGCCTGTTCTTAAGTCTCAGAATGGAGTTAACTCTTCCTGTCTCAGAATGTCAGGAAGTGCACGCAGAGGGGATTTATTCTGTATGACTCCAGAATATAGTTTTGTGATGGAAGGGAGGGATCCCCAAAACATCATCTCTTCTTGGCTACGAAAGCTACAAGATCAGAGTTCAGGAGGAATGTGGGAGGAGACTGCGGTCCTTGAACCAGCCCCTTCCAGGGGCTGAGATAACTTAGGAGGAATCCCACATAGACCCCAGAGTACTAAGACAAATTAATCTGTATCTGTTCAGCAGCACTAAAATTTATCTGTAAGTACCCCACATTCTTTAAGTCAAATACACATTGGTTGCAACTCAACAACGTTTATGTAAATGAAATTAGAACGAACTTTAAAATGTTAGGAGAAAAAGAGGACAGGAGAAACTTGAGGTTCAGAGAACCCAGTTCATTTCCCCTCTCGTACCTTGCCAGTGTCCACAGCTTGTGACCTCAAATCCCCAATTTTAGGAAAACCAACTCCAAAGGCTTGGAATGAAGAGGCTGGTTAGAGGAGCTTCAGATCCAGAAGGAAAGAGAGCGATCCTCCCTCCCCTGGCATCTCATGTCTGGCTTCAGGTGAATCTTAATGCCCTACATCTTCATCCCCATTTTCAGACCACTGAAAACTCTGTCCTGACTTTTACAGAGCAGGCCTGGTTGAGAGAGGCCAGTCTTGAGAAAGACTGGAAAGAAAGGAAAATGAGTAACTGATTTGGTAACAACAACAGAAAAAGGAGTAAGACGGCCTCCAGCAAGGTGTTTAGGACTCCCAAAATTCCCAAGAGCCATTGAAAGAAGATCTAACTCTAAGAATGCTGGTTAAGATCTGCTCAGCGTAGTCATCTCTGCAATGAGGGTGAAGGGATCTTAGGGCGGATTGAAAAGGATTCCTGGGAGACCTTGAGAAAGGAAATAAAATTGTGCAGCTGAGGTTTTTCAGTTTTGACAGGAGTTTTGGAAGGACGGGTGGAATTTCTGGAAGCCATGACACTGGGGTCATTTGGGATCAAGAGAGGACATTATTTCTATATAGAACTTTTTGGAGGCGTTAAAACAGTAGTAAGATAAGGAAGGGGTGCTTTTTACCGATCCTGGAATCAAAAGGAACAGAAATCCATCCACACAGTTGCTTTTATGTTTTACTGTTTGGCAGGAAGTTGTAAAATATTCCACCAGCAGGACTGAAATAAAAGGATAATTTCCAAGGTGGTGACATCACACATTCCAAGTTCTCAGTGGCACTGTTTCCCATTCTTTGGAAAATCCTGGGGAAACTGTCTCGTGGGGGGGGGGGGAATGTGATGCAGTCTAACAAGGCAGTCCTCTCCACCCTATCCAATTTTTGATTCCCCTCAAATAAATAGTGATTATTTAAATCTAAGGAGTCTTTCGGTTTCATTCTCTTGCAGCCCTTCCAAGATAGCTCTTTAATTTCACGCATCTGCCGCTGCTCCGTTTGACGGCCACATTTCTCAGCCAGGCTGTGAGCGAGAAGAGCTTCAGGGTCATCCGTTGAACTCCCTCTGTGCAGGATCTAGAAAGCCTAGCCGGCCTTGGTGAGCAAAGAGCCTCCTGGCATGACCGGGGTGGGCAAGGAGAGTTCAAACGGCCCGTCTCCCGTTCATAACACCGAGGTTGTGGAAGGAGAGGTGGGCTTAGCCACCGCCTGGGGATGGGCTGGGAGGGTGCTGGCGTAGAACCTCTTCTGGGAACGCAGGAGGGGCGTCTGGGTGTCGACATCACGGCAAGCCTTGCGTTTCACACAGTGGAACATGTGCTGGGTCCAGCCATAAACCACACAGTTCAGGAACCCCTGGGAAGATGCGGTCAGGGCCTGAGTGGAGAAGCGAAGTTGCCCACGGTGAGGTGGCTGGAATCAGGAGTTGCCTGGGGCAGTCAGGAAGCAGCAGCAAAGAAGCCAACATTCCCACTAAAGGTTAGCCCCCCCCCCCCCCCAACCAGCACTGAGCAATGGGTTCTGCCCACGGAGAGAAGGTGCCCTGTGGGCTCTTCTGGGTGTGCGTGGCTGAAGAGATGCTTACCTCTAAAACATAAAGGGCCATGTAAACACTGTCGTTCTCCATACGTGCCAGCTTGACTATGCTGAGGATAAAGGCTGCGGATGGGAGAAATGAGAGATCAGTAATAATAAATAGAATAAGGATGGTAGGACTAGCAGCTACACCTCTGCATGTATTAATTTTTTTTAGTAATTAATTTTCGATGGGTTTCTGGCCTTGGATAGATTGAGATCTGGAAGGGCCCACTTCCAAACAGAGGTGAAGAGAGCTGCCTCTTTCACCGTCAACCCCCATCCCTCAGTCTTTCCAAACCTGGCCCCCAGCAGCAGAAAAACACCACGGGGTACAGAACCACGGCTTGCTCGACCACCTTCAGCATCGCCCACTGTTGATCGCCGACGTAGCCCATCGAGTTCACAAACCGCTTGTACAACATCCTGGCTCGGATGAGCAGCGTCTGAAGAAGGAGCAAGGTCTAAGCAAGGTCTCAGCAACATCTTTGTGCTTGAAGGAGGAGAGGGTGGAAGGGAGGTGGCTGGATCCAGATTCCTGCTTCGCTTTTGAAGCCGTGGGAGGAATTGAATCTAGGTGCGTGCCTGGTCTGGGTTCACTCGTTCCTCCAGGCCATGGTTTACTTAACCATGGTTAAACTATACCTGACTGAGCCTGCAGAAGACAATAAGGCCTAAACCATGGCTTCTAAACCACAGGAGGTAGTTCCCAAATCACTTTAAGGCAAAACGAAGTCACACATTATAATGGCTTAAAGGGTTGTGTGAATCAGGCCATTGACAGCCTCTCTCGATCTAATTTACCTCAGAGTCCTCGCGTAAATAAAATCAGCAGCCAGGCAATCTAAGATGTGCCCGGTCAGCAATTCAAGTGTTCCTATTGTTTTGCCTTGCATTTTCCCCCCAAAGAATCTGTGCTTATTCTGAAGTCCATCTGTTTACCATTAGGGAAACAAAAACAAGCTCAGATTTATTCAGGAAGCTGGACTCTGGGGTGTGGAAACTCAGTGTGTGATGCATTAAATCAGTGTTAGGAAACTGTTTGCTCTAACATACGAGGAATGCAGCAACAGTTGGAAGACATCAAACGTTAAGCATCAGGGTAGAGAAAAGAAGCATGATTTGTGTGCGTCACAACTGAAAGCACACACACCTCTCCTGAATTCCCCCTCCCATAAGTGCTGAAGGATTTCCAGCAACAGAAGGAGGTGCACCCCTTAGTGTGCCTCTCACCAGAATTGCAAGGAAGCTGACCATAAACGAGATCAGGAAAACTCCAGTGCTGTACAAACACAACACAGTGCAGGTGACATGCTGAGAGCCGGTGCTGAGCATGTTTTCCATGTGCAACAGGAGGCACCTGTGGACCAAACAGAAGCACAGGAGTGAGCCTGGGAGGTGGGCTGTGTTACAGGTGGGTCGGGTTGTGTCCAGACCTCTTCTGGGAAGCTCAGACAAGCAAGGTTGGTTCCCCTAAGAGACCTTTGGGAGTCAGTGGCCGTCGTAGGACAAAGTCTCAGTTCAGATACCTGCCATCCCTGACTCTTTGGGCTTGGCAAAATGTACTATATTCAGGTTGTCGTACCCATGTTCTGCAGTGAAGTTCTGAGGACACCGAAAGTGGTTGCCTAGCCCCAAAACAGGCACCATCAGGAGGATGGGGATGAGACTGGAAGAGAAAAGATAGGTCAGTCTCTTCTTCAAGATCTTGGAACCCCCCAGAGAAAAGACCAGCTCGCCTTCCAGAGCTGCTTTTACTGGCCTAAATAGCCAGAGTCTGGCCAGATCGAACTGGGGAGCTCATCCAGATTTTTCCGAGTAGGGGGGTAAACTCCACTGCCTCCCCCTTTCCCCCCCCAACCCCAACCCCTCTGAATCCAGTGGCATTTGGGAGATTAATCTTACCTAGAGAAAAGGATTGCTATTCGGCCAAGCTGATTTGAATAGCTCAACATCTACAAAAGGGGGAAAGAGGAAAACACCAGGGATTTAGCCCCATACTTTGAAAAGGTTTGTGGCAAAGATTCAAAAGATGAAATGAATTTTAAAAAAAAATTGGATGCAGGAAAGGGGAAATAAAATGTGTACAGAAACTTCCCTACAATTGTTTTTGGGGGAGGGAAACTCTTCAAAATTCAGCATTTAATTGTTCACATGTTAGTTTCAGATGAGACTTTGGTTACAACAATGAAGCAATGATAAAGCCACTTCATCAAGAAGTTATTATTTTAAAAACTTGAAGGTGAATCAAAGTTGAACCAATCAAGGTTTAGCTCTATACCTGGTACGTCCTGAACATATTGATGTATAATTTATTTCACTGGCATGTACAGATGCGTCCATGTGCATGCGCACATATACATACATACACACACACAGCAGAGGTGGGTTTCAGCAGGTTCTGACCAGTTCTGGAGAACCGGTAGCGGAAATTTTGAGTAGTTCAGAGAACTGGTAGTAAAAATTCTGACTGGCCCCGCCCCCATCTATTCTCTGCCTCCCAAGTCCTAGCTGATCGGGAGGAAATGGGGATTTTGCAGTATCCTTCCCCGGGAGTGGGGTGGGAATGGAGATTTTACACTATCCTTCCCCTGCCACGCCCACCAAGCCACAGCCACAGAACCGGTAGTAAAAAAT